ATCATCTATAACCGCTCCAGGTGGGCTCCCTGACCGTCAAGCCGGATGGGATGTAAGGGCACGCACTGCCTCGGGAATGGAGCCGACTGCTTTGGCCTTCACAGCTGTTGGAATTAGATTGCAATACAAATATAAAACAATCACAGTTACCTACTTAGGCTGTGCGCCATGGGTTGTCTGATTTACTTTTGACGACGTGAGTCGAGAGCTTCAGCGAATGTATCGTGAGCGTGAGAGTCGGTTTTAATTGATAACTATACTTGTCGTGTGCCGAGTAATCGTGCATTATGTTTGAGGTTAAGTGTTTTACGTTCCACCGTTCTCCTGCTTTGTAGGTATTACGTGTTTAACAAAAGGGGTCGGATTGTGAATGCCCAGTATGTCGACAATTCGTACAAGTGGGCTGGAGGTGGCTTCCTCTCCACTGTGGGAGACCTGCTGAAGTTTGCCAACGCCATGCTTTACAGCTATCAGGTATCATCATCTGCACTTTATCAACATGCACCCTAAGTCAGGGGTCAGGAAACATAACAAGAAGAGCCATTTTTTTCAAATTTCTAAAAAATGTTTACAATAAAGCCGCCAAGCATGTAAATAACGTTATGAAGCAATCCTTAAAGAGCCGCATACGGTTCAGGAGCTGCAAGTTGCTGACCCCTGACCTAAGTCTTTCACACTGCAGTAGCTTTCATAATTTGTGTTGAAAATGTCTTGGACGTACGAGTTTGTGGATGGCATAGTTTTGTGGAATTCCCCAGATTGGGAAATCATCCCAACGTAGGATCCTGAAAATATTCTTGAAACGCAAAGAGTTTTTTTCTGGCTAAATTAATGAGGTATCATTATAAGCTATCTTTTTAACTCCAAGATAGCATATCCCATAAGACAAAACATCTTATCTTGCTAATTGTTTTAACCAATTTATTGTTTCAAGCATCTTTAAAGTGGCCACCATTACGAGCAGCCATTCCTTTTCTGCTGCTGGATGAAAGCCTCACACTGACACCATTATCATCTTCAGTCCCATCCTGCTGCAATCCTCCAGAACACAGTAGCCCAAATTTCATCAATCCAGCTGCTCTCTGTCTCCCGCCCTGTGTTCCATTGCCCCTTTGCAGACGGAAGTCTCGGACGTAGATAAAGGCCATCTCCCGGGCTACCTCAAGTCCGGGACCATGCGTGCGCTATGGTCACCTGTCCCCGGCAGCGAGATGTCTTGGGACCGGGAGGGCGGATATGGCATGGGATGGGGCGTGGTTGAGAGCCGGCAGGAGTGCGGCGCTTGCCGGCGCACTCACCACTACGCTTCGCACACTGGCGGTGCCGTCGGGGCCAGCTCCGTGCTGCTCGTGCTCCCTGCCGAAGGGACGCCATCCGCCGAGCAAGGGCCGCACCTCCCACGTGGCATCGCGGTGTGCATCCTGTGCAACCTGCAGTCAGTCGGCCTCAATGCCGCCGCTTTGCAGATAGCCCTCGAATTTGAGAGATGTGCTCAAATGACAGTGTGAGCATTGCCAATGAGCCAAGGGGACGTGAAAGCCACTTTGTGTAATGGACATTCGCGTTCAGGAGACCAGGGTTCAGTGGTCGGTTGTTTAAAGCAGCTTAGGTATAATTTGCCCCCAGTGTTCTTTAAAACAGTGTTTGACTGAATGTGTAGCCAAAGGCAAATGGGGTTGATGTCCGATAAAGGCATCGTTAGACGATGTGAAAAAGTCGATGCCTTGGGAGACAGCTGTAGCGATGGGTACTTAGTCGCGGTGACTGGAGAAAGGCGCTCTGATAATTACTAGCAGAGCCTGCAGTGCTAAGGTAATGGAGGAAAAAAAGTAAAGGGTTAAAATCAACTGAAGGTGTTTTATGCAATCAGCCACAGGTCACTGCATTGCCATATGAAGGGAAACGTGGGGTACTGTTTCTATCCATTCAGATCGGCCACGTTATGAGTTGGCGACTGAGTAATTGACAGTATTAGCTTCATAATATTCAACTGTATATGGAAAATATTGCAGTTTTATGGTAGCATAAACATTTAGTAAATGGCTACCTAAATGTGCCAAACTCGAGTTTTTGGCCATTTGATGGCAATAAGTGATAACGCAGGTGATGCACTCGTGGCCTAAGAGCTAAACACAATAAGTAGTTCTAAAGTAATGAGTTTTCGATTTAAAAGTGCATAGCTCCAGTGGCTTCCTAATATCGGAAGGAAGAGTGTTCCAGACTGTCGCAGAAGCGCATCTTTAAAGCACCGTCTTTGTTCGATGGTTAGCCAAAAGCGATGGTGACCGGAGTTTGCGTGATGGTTTATGCTCCTTTACAATATCGAGGTACTTTGGTTCCTTGTGTTAAGCACTTTGTGCTGAAAATTCGGGTTCACCTTTAGGAGGTGGTAATTTGGTTTATGTTATGTTGAACACAACATAAGCCACTGATGTTATTGTTGTATTGCTACCGGTTATTAAACGGTGGCGCCATGTAGTGGAAACATGTTGCGTGTTCAAAGGGGAAGGAGTCAATTGCTCCCTTTGTTGTTTTAAAAGGCTTCTTGATTACAGACATCGTTGATTTTTTTAAAATGCCATGGAACACCAGAGCCTTTATTTTCTCGATAATTGACCTCACCTGATTTGTCGTCACTTGCCAGTTTCCAAAGCCAATGTTCTTTGTCCTTTTACAAACTTAGGCCACTGCTTTATTACAACAGTATTGTGCAACATGAGTAACTTGTGCTTTAAATTATTACCAAACCATGTGAGCTGGGATGCTCATAGCTGGCCCGTTGCCCATCGCCATTGAACCAACTACATATTCTCACAAGCGATAACATTTTATGTGGTGGATACCAAACCCTGCCTTTTATGGACTTTTGTATTGACCGCAATCTTTTTTTATGGGCAGGGAGCATAGATGGTTAAGAATCTTCCCAATTGTCAAAAATTTTGTTTGAAAAATAAAACAGTCATTGGATAAGGTAGTGGATGTTGTTTTTTTTACAATTTTTACCGTCACCTCATTTTTAAATGGGGTTCATACTGACTGTGTCATTCTTTGTGCCCACTGCTGAGATCAACTGATGGGGCACCGCTGCCCACCAACCATGTTTGGGTACAAGCGTGGAGCAGTGGTACAGTGGTTAACGAAACCTGCTGACTTCAGTTAGATTCCTGGCCATGAATAACATCAGTTGCAAGTGGTTAAAAAACTGTTATCTAGGTCTCTCTTACTAGATACATGTGTGTAAAACATCACTACTTGGGGGAGACAAAAGTATAAAGGCTGGGCGTGGTGCTCGCCACACCACCCCCTCGTGTTTCTACGCCATGCCGGCCTTAATAGGTGCTCGCGTACATGACTCACCCCAACAATTTGTAAGGCTATAGACGGGGGATATTTCCTGATGTGTGTGGGGGCGGGTATGTGGTACACCCTTGCTGTCGTGAGGAAATGCGGTAGTAATGCTTCCCTGGGCCCTGGCCCCTCGGCGGCCTGACCAAATAAGGCAAAACTGAAAGCCAGAGCATGACTCCCCAGCGGCCCTGATCTGCGGAACATCAGCCATTCTTGCCAACATAAACAGAAATGTATTTAAGAAAAAAATTGTGCAGCCCATAGCGGAAAGCTTAATGTACGATAATATTTTTTTGTGTACCGGTTTTTTAACTTTCTTAGAATTGAGATAATACAGCCTTATAACGTTTAAAAGTATTTTTTTGGTCATCGGTCGGTTGTTTTTTTACAAAACAAGATGGACTTCACATTGACCTGCCATAATTTTATGTTGGTGATTATTGGCTGAGCCAGAGCAAAGTACATGCTGCTGCATATAGAGGCACTCGGAAACTGGACTGAGAGCTACTTCTTGGCTGCCGCTTCTCAATACGGGACCTGATTATCTCATCCGTCGGTCAACAAACAATGTCAAACGCATTCCATCGAGATGGGCAAATCGGACCGGATGACGGCAGGACACTGGTGTCGAGAACCCAAGAGCGACACTGACCTCAAAAATGTTGCTTGCGAAAGCCTATGAAATGACGCGCTAGCCATGACAGTTATGGTGCAATGCAATGAATTGTTTCAATAATTGATTATTATTTTAAATATTGAGGCGCGTGTCGGGGCCTCGAGTCCCTGGGTCACTTGAACCCATTCTATTCAATATATTCTAATAAAACATTCCTTACATGATTCGACGCATGTATTGTGAACTTAAAATGAAATTAACCATTGACTCAACGAGCCGCAAATGACAGCTGGAATCTCTGGGTGAGGCCTTTTTAACGTAATCCTTCGTAATCTGCAGTTTGGCTGTAATCGATGTTCAGGCCACTGCAACCAGGAAAACACCTGTATAATTACCCACGCCTGGCACGCGCCGTGCAACAATTGTACACATAGCAATAATCTATAGGGATGTTAAATCCATTGCATGACTAATCTGGTTGTGCATCATACTACGGTGGGATGCTTCCAAGGTTTATGTTTGGGCAGGTTCGGCGTTTTCTTTGAACTGCAAATCCCTGCACAAGCAATGTTCCGGACATGCAGTGCATATTGGCACATGGTTCGTGAGAACATTGTTACCATACTGGGTTTCTTTTTAACTAAACCTTTTATTTATTTAAGGCCCACTGAGATATATTTGTCTTTTTCAGAAGCGACCTGGCCACAAATGATAGTTCAACGAAATGGCTTATCGCGCTGCAATGTTTAGCAGACAATGACAAGTCCAAATGCATGTTTCTAAATGTGGAGAGAAAGCCCGGGGGACCTGGAGAAAAATCCACGCGACCGCAGAGAGAACATGCAAACTGCAGATATACAGGCGTCAGGGTTGGGAACGAACCCACGACCTTATGTATACCTGGCGAGGCAGTTCACATCTCGCCACAGGTCTATCTCTAAGCAGTTGCCAATTTACGTACGTATCGGGCTCGGTAAAATAGTAACTCCCGTGTACAAAAAAACCTCGCAAAACAAAATAATTGCTGATCTAATGCTTTCATGTGTTGCTCATGCAGACTTCTTTTAATCTTAAAACACGTTTGCATTGACAACACCAAAGAACACATCCGAGGCTACAATATGTGAATGCACAATACATTGTGATATTCAGGTGACTTTATATTATTGCATAATCCAAATACCTGACGGCTGCAGTTACGCAGATTGCATGTGCGGATGCATACGATTGTGTCAGTGCACATCAACACCGGTTGAACTCGAAACAGCTGTGAATTCAATGTAACGCACGCATGCCTTCCATTCAACTAAAGGAACCTTCATGGGGGTGACCATCACGTGGCACGCTGCAGTCTGTTGATTCAGAGCGTTCTGGTTGAGCCGTTTCGCAGGCAAGACGGTGAACTGTACGTTGCATCTCGATGATTGTGGGGAAAAGGCAAAAGAGGCAACTGTGTTGTGTCTAAAGGATTGTGCGGGTGAAAGCATCGCAACTCAAAATAGTTTTACATTTTGATGACGCTAACAACGGGTAAGGGCTATGAGCAATGTTGGTGATTTTGGAACAAAAGTTAGGATCATATCAAATATATATATTTTTAAATTCATTGCCCTTAGGCAGGTGATTGTTATAACATGTGTGGTGTTTAACACCGTTAACGTACTGTTAATATTAAACGTTGCGAAAATGGTTTGCTGGCGACAGAAATAGAACTGTGGAATTTGGACAAACCAATCGGGCACTATGTAGAGGACACTTGCCAAATCTGTAACAGGTCGCCCACCTCCCATATAATTTTATTAACTGTCATGATTCTGAGTAATTCAGGAATTCGTGTTTTTTTATCTCATTTGTACTCTTGTGTAGTCTCAATGTTAAAAATTGCGTATAAATTGCATACATCGTCAATGTTTTTTTACAAACACTTCAATACAATATGTTAAGCATAACGGTTGTAATTGATGGATCATTGCATGCCTATCCTTCAATATTAGATATATGATGAGCAATCAATGAACATCATGTCAACATTTTTAAATGCAATGATTTATGCATGATAATTAATGATCCACTATTTTACTATCTTTTGACCTCATGCCACGACAATACTGACAGGTCGGTACAACCCGACAGCCAACTCATGGCCCACTTCCAACTCTCGGGCTATAGCCCGTCCGCTTCTGGGAGAGTAATTCCCAGTTCCAGACAATTTTCTTTTTATCCTAGACGTCCTCCTGTATGGTGCTGCCATACAGGAGGACGTCAGCGTGTATGCAAATTATATAAAAAAAAGTTCTATGCTAATAAAAACACAGAATAAAGAGAAACAATGCAAGTGAACTGATATGAGATTTTTTTTTTACCATATGCTCCACATTACTAGACACCGTTTGCCCTTTAATTTAAGACAAAAGTTGTAAGTGCATCTTATAATCTGGGGCCACTTCCTGGAGTCGTTCAGTAAAGCACTCGTTCATGTTGAAGCTTCTCTGCCTCTGGTATGATTGAGGAGTGAGTGCAGGGTTGCTCTGGAGGGTCAAGACACAACAGTAGGTGAGTGTGTGACCATATTTGTTTTACTTTAATGACACCTGGCACAAGTTTGGAGCGGGGAGGGGTCTGTCTTACTTTCCGGAGTGTTTTATAATCTTAAAAATGCGGTGATTTCAACACGAATGGGGACCTCCAATCATGACATTTCATTGAATTGCTTGAGGGAGATTTGTTTCATGATTGTTATCCAGCCAGCTGACCCTAGCTACAGTCCACCACCGCTGGCCAACCGAGGCCAGCCAGCAAGTAGCCACAGTTGCCAATGACACTGCTTTGAGGTGCGATGCGTGTTGCCCCGTGGCCCCCCAGGGCTGCCGAACACGTGCACTGCCGTGTGTGGTGTGTGTGGAGCCACGCGGGGATGAGGGGACGGCGACAGTGGGCGCGCGTTCACATGTTGTTCAGCTCCAGCAGGGTCTGGTCCAGCACCTGGTTGATTCCCAGGTTCTCCTCCTTGGCTCTGGCCAGTTGCTCTGTTGACAGGGCATGAAGGTTAGGAGATAGGTACACCACTCTCCGGTGCATTTTCGAGTTTAGTACCGCATTGTTTTGGCAGTATGTCCAACATTTTTACTCCACTTGCTCAGAGTCTCTTTAAGTAAATGAATTGTGCAGCTCATTTACACAATCGAGGGACAAAGTTAGGCACTCAATTCTTTTCGCCGAAAAAGCTCCCAGCATAGGAATAAGTTTTACCCTTTTTACTGGCACAAAAACTGACACCTTTATTCAAGGCATCATGTTTGCAATAACCACAACACAAGCAGTCAAAATGCAAATAAAAAAGACAACTCTGATAATAATATGCACTGTCCTTGAATTTAATTGGTCCACACCCGAGACGGCTTTTCTTAGAGCCTAGTCTCCATTGGTGTTGGACCAGAAGACGCCAAAAGGCGTACAACTCAAAAACAGCGCACTATCAGAGTATTGAGGGCTCGGGGTGAGCATTTACATTATGAGACCTCCTTTGCCAATAACAAGATATAGGAATAGGTTTTACCCTTTTAACTGGCACAAAAACTGACACCTTTATTCAAGGCATCATGTTTGCAATAACCACAACACAAGCAGTCAAAATGCAAATTCAAGGCATCATGCAAACATGATGCCTTGAATAAAGGTGTCAGTTTTTGTGCCAGTTAAAAGGGTAAAACCTATTTCTATATCTTGTTACTGGCAAAGGAGGTCTCATAATGTAAAAGCTCCCAGCATGCGGAGAGGAATGTTGGATATTGTTGCCAAAACGACACGTGGAGCAACTGAAAACACATCAGAGATCTATATAGCACAACAGCAAAAAAAAAACAATAACCCTGCAGTAGATAGGCACACCGTTCAGTGCTTCTGCTGGCACATGTGTACTTCACAGAGCCCAAGGACAACAGAAATGTGCAGGAAATGGCACGCAAATTAAACCGCCGTACGTTTAGTTGGAATGTTGCAACGTTTCTCAGCCCCTTGTCTACGACAGGACTTGAAAACGCTGCGGTTTGCTCATTTGACTCTCTGACCTCGAGTGTCAACGTGACTGGTCCACCACCCTCTTAGGAGTGGTGCAGGGACCATACATGTTTATGAAATGTGTGGATCGGTTCACTGGCAACCATTTTTCTTTGAGTCTCCCTGCCAACGACATAGGGGAGTGAGCAGTCGCGCCTGACTGCGTTCCTGTCTGCCCACCGACCTCCGCTCAACTGTTTGAGTTATCTGGCTGGAATGTTTCACAGACTCAGCCGTGGCCGCAGTCCATTTCCAGAAAAATGTTTCACGTCAGAAGGTGCGTGCCATTGTTTCCGCCTCATCCAAATAAAGTCTAGATCACTCGATAGAGTGTCGAGTCAAATGCACAATAACAAATGGATATTCGCATTGGCGCTTATTTAATATGAAGCAAGCGTAAAGAAAAAAAAATAGTCTAGCGTTCGACTACGGGTCAAATGAACATGCCTGGCGGTTTTTTTCTCACTGGTAGGAGCACAGCTTCGTGCAATATTTTAAGTATGGGCGCTGTCAGAACTTGCAACCTAATCCACTCCACCGAGGGGCTTGCCAGATATTTTTTTTTGCTTTTCGGAAACGGGTTTCCGTTTTGAATGTTCACACAAAGCCGGACGCTCGTGTGTCATAATTTGCAGTTTCCCCGGAAAACAACACACCCAAGCCTCTTCCCAGCGTTTAAGCTTCTGGTGGGATATTATTATTATGAATGTACTGTACCTATAAAGTACTCTATACCAATAAGCACCACTTTGTGGGAAGCCAACAGTAAATTACCTAAAGAAAAACCGGGGAATTTCCACCTCTGATTTCCACGGTTGGCTACGTATGGTGCGAAAGAAGTTTAACATACAAACATACACTGATCACTCTCCACCAAAGGATACGAGTACTGCCCCATGCTGCTCTGAGCAGGGTGAAACTTTAACCCAACACTGTACTATTTGGTATCTACTGACGAAAGATGTTGGGACACCACAAGCAGCTCCTTTCGTTACCCTCAACCACCTTAAAAAAAAAGTCTAACCACTCAAATTATAGTGTCTGGTCGTAGCAGACTTTAGGCGTATTGTTCACCGTCTAATTAAATAACCACATTCCGGGCACTGGCCGTTCTTTATAGTACATAGAGGAGCCAGAGAGGTAGATTAAGTCGACCTCAAGCTTCAGCAGCGGGAAGAACCTTGGGTGTGTTTTCTCAGGGAAACTGCAAAGAGTCACTCTACCTTTCAGGCCTCTCTATGTGATGTTGAGAAGGGCCGTTGCCCAAAACGTCTCCTGTTATACATTTTTTTCCTTTTAGGGCATTGGTGTTCAGTTGTTTTGTTATATGCTGCTTGTGCACCACTACCAATGCAGTATCACCAAATAGTTTGTTGAAAGCTACCTCCAGGTGGTGCAGTGGTAGGCATGCCGACAAATTAGGTCCCAGTGTCATTCATCAGCTGCACAAATGATCAGCTTCACCACCCATTGTTTGCGCGTGGACTGTGGACACCTTTGAGTCGTGATGATTCCACCGACCAAAAAAAAGTCATTGCCCATCTAAAAGTTCCCCACACTCACCCTCCAGGTCATCAATGCTGTTCTCCAATTTCACAACTGTCCGCTCCGCATACTCCGCCCGTTGCTCCACCTGCGCCGAGCACAGCATGGTGCACGAGACGGGTTAGACTCCGGTTACTGGTTCGCAACTCCAAAAATCGGCGATGACAAACAAGGCGATGACAAACAAACACAACGGTGACCGACCAAACTGAACCAAACTCGGATCAAGTGGCACAGGCGAGGCATCTCACGCGACGCACTTTGGAATCTTTCAGACACGACTTCTTAAACAGTGTGGTTTTTGGTCGTGTTGTAACTTTGGATTGTATCAAAAGCATTTGGAAGCCTCATTGTTACACCAACAGGTTTTGCTCTTCTGTGTCTCAAGCAGTTGTTTTGTCATGCGCACCTCCTCGAAACGCACTTTGATTCAACCAGACAATTATCAGAAAACAACAGTCATTCTGTTTACAAATTAAATACTGGCCTCCTTCAGCTTCTCGCTTAGGACCTTTATCTCCTCCTCAAACTTGTCTTCTTTTTGGGAATACTGTGAAGGGAAAGACACACGCGCACACACAGATGAGCACCGCATACATCACTTACAGAAGCCCTAAATACTATTCCTGTTTGTGCTGGTGAATGTATAAGTGTACGGGTGGAACAGCGGAGCTCCTGAGTAACTAAGTAATACATATAGCACAGCTGCGAATATGAACGCTCATGACAAGTCAGGGGCTTGGCGTTCTTTTCTCAAATGAGCGAGATATTTTCACTGCTGCATGGTGATCGTGGTCATGTTCGGTCTGAAATATCCCCGTGGTAGTCTGAGAGAGGCGCAGGCTGAACAAGGCGAGGAGAATCCGTGCTTGTACGTCTTTGCCCCCTTGGATGGATTCTGTGCCTACTAAAGCCCACGCGGATAGCTGGTGAAATTTCAGATCGACGATGACTACGATCTATCGCTGCTGTGGTCAGATCTCACTTGTTTAACAAAAAGGTTGGTGTGCCCCAAACTGTAGTCGGCTTAACAACTGTAACAATCCGCGCGTATGGGATTCATGCAAAGGCTTTTATTTGTCTTTCTTTTTATGACTGATAAAGTGCTGCCTGGTGGCCCTTGAGCCTGGTTAATATTGGGACATTTTGTACATAGTAACGTGGAATTTGTAAATCACTGGCTGAGAACCAAAAACGGAGGTGAACACTACCCCACGCTCTAGGGTGGATGGAAGCAATTTTAATTTTTTTTTAAAAACTTATCTGGACCCGCTTTGCGACTCCAAAACGTTTACCGGATAAACCCCGCGTTGAACGCGCGACGTGCAGCCGATGCAATCTTGCCGTCTTATTTACGTTAACCTTTTATCTGCACCACTCAGCTATGCCTGGAACGCTGTGTGTAACGGGTTGTGCGTTTTATTATTCTTTCCTCATTGCTTAACGGCTGGGGGGGGTGGGGGTCGGCAACATTTAGGTCAGTTACTCGTAGATTTACTTGTATTATGAGGAAGGTGACAGCTGACCAATCCTCTGTGCCCCACCCCACCCCCAAATAGTTATGACGTGTCAGGTAATTTGCCGTGCACCCTCAATACTCTTTTAAAGGCCAGGCCTTTCATGCTCAACGTGACCCAACCCAACTTCAAAAGTGTCCCCAAGTGCCGTCATCTGTCGTCGGCTTATAACGAAACTCCCAAGATTGTACTCCGTGATGCAAAGGTGCATTTGTATTTGAGATGACTCACATAATGAATGGAGATAGAGTTGCACATTTAAACGTATGTATGCGCTTGAAATGCCTTGCACGGAATTCAAAACCGTAGCTGAGTGCTATCCAGCTATCCTGCAGGCAAAATAAAAAAAATCCTGGCAGAAGCAATGAGAAATTAACTCCAATCATTCCATCACGTTACAGGACATGCCGATAGAAACATGTTTATGTTACCAATTATATATTTTAATGACCAAATGCAGAGTGAATTTTTTTTCTGGAATCATGTTGACGAATTTCTTTCCTAATGAAAGTCTCACTGGGGCCTCACTACTTCTCTTCTGTGGAGTGTTTTTGTTTGTGTTGTTAAATGAGTTACATTTTTTTATGCTTGTGTATAAATCTGACCTTTGGTGAATGCCCTTTTTTTGTCAGCAGCCTTTTAAAAGTTAGAATTTTAAACACTTTACATTCAAACAAACCCTCCCAAGTGATGTTGTTCATTAGCGCTAGCAAAGAGAGAGCTCTTGTAATAAGCTGCAAATTGTTCAAGTTTTAGTAAATTGTTGAGCTTTGCTTATCCTGGAGGAAACATTTATTTAAGAATAGATTTTTTTTTTAGTCTTCCTGTTGCAAAACGTGCGGCTGTTGGGTTCAATTTGGTGTTTATGCCTCACAGTGAGCCCACCCACGCTATCCAGAGGTTGGGTTTGCCTCGCTGTCATAAACTATACACTGGACAGTTGACAATACAGCATGTGTGCGTGTGCGTCCGTATGTAGCGTCTAAATGCCACCACATCTCAAGATGCCATGTGCAACAGCGCTTCCCAAAGTCCTGTCGACCTTCGATCGCACGTTACACCGCTTGTAGCGATCGTCGCTATCGATCGGCGTTCGACAACTCGCACCCCTGTGGAGAGTGGCAGCAAAATTTGAAAACCCAGGCCGTGGCGAGGCGAAGAGATTTTCCGCACCCGGCACATCGTCGCGGAACTCATTGGCCGGTCACTGTCCACAACTTGTCACTGGCTGCAAGCCAATTCCGCAGTCGACTCAAGATGGATATATTCGGTAAAAGCTTACAAGGCCTAAATGGAGTGCCTTTGCGATAGCCTCTTGCTATAAGAACGGGCTTAAAGAGACCAATGTATAATTGTCACTTTGAGCACCGGAGTTTGGCAAACGCTGCTGCATGAAACCCCGTGGGCGAAGCAAGAGTTTCAAATATAGATGAGAGCAATAAAACAAACAACCCCCAAAATCGGCAGCATGTGGGAACCAGGCAGGCCCGTCAAAAGGATCCACGGTCACGCTTCTAACCTCCTCGTTCTGTGCCATGAGGGATTTCAGGTCGTTGGTCATGTTTTTCAGGTCCTCCTCAAGCGCCGAGCATTTGCTGTTGTGGTGGAGATGATGGGCGGGAGGAGGGGGGGGGGGATTCGGTATGGGGAAGGGGAGAGGAGAGAAGAGGAGAGAAAGGATGATGGGGGGAGGGGAGGGAAGGGGAGGGAAGGGTAAGAGCGAGGTGGGTTGAGGAAAACAGGAATGGGAGAGGGCGGGAAGGGGCCAAGGAGATGCCGTGAATAAACAGCCCGCAAGCAAGAGAGCGAGATGGGGGGAATGGGGTCGTGGGAAGGCAACTCCATGTCTGTGCACAGCCTATAAAAGCACACGGGCAAAAGCTCCCAAGAATGCAGGAAATTGTACACGTGATTAATGATGTGATTGGGACTGAATATCCAGGTTTTCTAAAAATGCCTGTTAGTTCCACTTTGGTGTTCGTGTAGCGTAGGCACAGCGCGGGTAGCAGCAGGCAGGCACATGCAGCAGCGGTCGTCATGACTGTCCTTGCAGCTTGGTTGCGCACTTAACGAGGAAGGGAGGTGCGAGGACGGAGGGGTGGTCGAAAAGTTTTGAAAACGAGACATTGCTAAACCTAAACCAAAAGACGGCATGGCACCTGTTGCGGGCACATCGACGCCAACGTAACAACAACCGTGCACTTTTTTTAGGATGATTTTAGCAAGCTCGGAGTTGCCGCACTCCTTGTGTGCAGTTCTCAAAACCTTTTTTATAACGAATGCCAATTGGTGCATATACGTCCACTCACCCTCGAACGCCCGCAATATATCAGCAGCCCTTGAGAGTGAGTTCCAATTTTGATGACCGACGGACATTTTTAACGGACCATCTAGATCATCGACGTTGAGTTCTGCGCACGTTTTACAAAGTTCGCCATTTGCCTTCAAGAGCTGCTGCCCGAGATTGATCGTCGTCAGTTTTTGGGGTAAATGTTTTCGGTGGGGACGCGGGGACCAGGTTCCAGGCGGAGGTGCACGCCGACGCGAGGTTTCTCTACCTTCTCATCGGTCACCAAGAGCGACTTGACACTCTCAAGGGCAACTTGATGCTCCTCCTCCAGGCGTCGTGAGCGGCTGTTAGTGTGGGGTCCAGGGTCGCGCGTGGGGGTGGTACATGCAGGCATTTTTCCAAACCGCGATTTTCATAACAGACGCACGCACTCACGCACGCACACACACGCGCTCTCACACGTACATGCCACCGCGGTGGAAGAGGTAGAGGTGGTGGGAGCCGGTGAGATTATGCGTTTGGGCTGAGGTGCGGTAAATATAGGCGGTTAAGTATATGGTGGCACAGCAGGGTCCGCAGTGACGTTACAAACAAGGGCGGAGGTTGGTGTTTAGACGTGCACGGTGTGCGCGCTGCGGTGAGTTAGTCACACATGACAAACAATTGCTCAAATTCTCACAAAAATACATACAGTTAAACTCACCACATTCATAATGATCAACCCTGCCTTGCAACAGAAACACATATACAGACTGAAGAAGGGCCGTTGCTTCAAATGTTAGCCTACTTTATATTTTTCTGTTGTAAGGCAGTGTAGATCGTGAACTTGGTGAGATTATTCTTGTTGATTTGTGCTCGGATACCAGTACCAATGCAGCTCCTTTTTTATATTTGCTCAATTTGTCACTACACTCTCACAGCTAATAAATAACCAAAGCAGCCAGCAATGCCTCCCCCAGACAGGGTTGGCGTCGTGTTGATGATGAAGTCATTTCCCATTTTTATAAATCTGAGTTATTTGATTAATAAACAAGGAATGTTACTGGTGAGAGGTTCGACTTTTGGACGTTAGAAAATACTCTCGGGCAAATTAATGTCCTAAGCACCACTGTAAGAGACTTCCAAAACAGAGGATTGTTTCTTAATTTTCAAATCCCCCTTTCCAAAGAACCAAGAATATTTAAAAATACATCTTTGATATATTTGATATTTTTCAAATTGATATATTTGATATATTTTAAATCTTTGATTAAAAAAAAATCATCAATTTCGAACGCATAATGCCATCAGCATCAGGAGTTTGTCCATTCGGAATGATTCCAAAATGTTGCATCGCCCCATGTTAAGAAAATGGCCCAAGGAAGGGTAAACCACAGAACTACTTCTGAAACGTCTTAATGGGTTATTTTTCCACACTTAGGGGCAGAGCTACAACCTGCATCGGTTAAGCGAAAACGAAATTGATAGCCAAGTTTTTTGTGGCTGTTGTGGTGTGTAAACTTGAGGAGACAAAGGCGGCCGGGCGTGGTGATGGCCACACCAACCCTCACATCCCTTGCTAGCAATCATAGGTGCTCGCTCAAAGCACTTACCCCATCAGCCTACATAGAGGGATCTATGTATTTGTCTCCCGAGTCTCTGTGTGACTTGGCTGAGACAAATAACTCGTGACACACGATAACCAAGTTTTAATCGGTGGTGGCCAAAACCCAAATTTGAATTCAGGATCTCAGCGGTGCCTGCACAGTCCTTGCACCCTTGAGCCATCTGATCACTTTTCAGAACAGGAGCCTGAATGGGGGCCCTGGGCTGGTGGGAGGCTGTGATAGGGTTAGGAACCCTCACAAAGCAACGGTTCTCTGGGTGGGGGGGGGGGTCAGAGCCTCCGGGTTTTGCGGTGGCTCAGGGCTTACGTTTCGGCGTGGTCGGCACGCTCTTCCGCCCGCTCCAGGTCGCTCTCCAGCACGATCAACTTACGGGCGACCTGCATCACCAGGACAAATGCTCTCAATGCATACGCGTGCAGCGCACATCTTTGTTTCTATGTATTTACACCATATGACTCTGCATACACATGTATGGATATATGATATGTATATACGCCAGTGTCTTTGAGGAACGTCAAAGCCAGAAGGTGCAATGTTTGGGTCAAGAATGATGTGTTTATCCTGGACATCTGCGTTGTTCCACTCTATTCGCCAGCGTTCTTCCGGATCTGGGTGAGATTCAAACCCAGAAGGGGGATCGGGACTTTGAGTTGGCTGCGAGGTGACATTGTTAATGCCTTGGTTGACGATGGGTAGGTGGTTGTCTTTGGCAAGAAAACGTGTCAAATTATTTGCAGTTAGCATGTCATATTTCGTGGCAGAATATTCACCAAAGCAGGAATCCAGGGGAATGGTGTCAGTGTTCCGGTAATGATGCACATTGCGTTATTTAATTGTGCATCAAGAAGTTTTTTTGTTTTTGTAGGAGCTCCCGGACCAGGATGGAGCACAATACCCCGGTCACCGAGTAGATCGGTGACTTTCGCCTCGTTACTTTCACTCGCTGAAGGGTGTACGCAGAGCCTGAATTTCTCGCTCAGTATTTTCCGGGCCGCTGGTCGCCCGGAGTAGACACGCGACGAGCAGCGGCCACAGCCATAGCGAGAGGTGTAATGGATGCGGTGGGCCGGGTGCGGAAACTACGTTCGTGATCGCTGACCGAGGCAGACCCGGCTGGAACGGAGCACTGGGCGCGAGCAACAGCAAGCGACGTGGAACAGTGAGCGGCGTCGTCATTGTCGTCTCACCTCCTCATACTTGCGGTCGGCCTCCTCGGCGATGTGCTTCGCCTCCTTCAGCTGCACCTCTTGCACCTCCAGCTTCTCCTCGTCCTTCAGTGACTTCGTCTCGATCACCTTCATGCCCCTGCATGTAAGTGTTCCGTGTGTGGTCAGGGTTATTCGGCAGTCACAGTCTTCGTCCAGTCAGAAACAGAGAATTTTTTTAGTCTATGGATTTTGTGTTTCCGTCTAAAGCAGTCTGACGTGTAGGCCACCCGCAGTTGTTAAATGTTGGGTGCGAGGGGCACGCGATTTCCCTCTGTCAATGTCAGGTGAGCCAATCAGTAAACTCGGTACGTATTTATATATACATATACTGTAAAGTCAATTACGATTTTTGTCTTTCTCTCGTCACTGCAGTCTTTAATATTGCTACTTAATTATATTATCTTCTTTGGTTCTTTCGGTAAAGTCTCATTCTACGTGCCTTTACCGAAAGAACCAAAGAAGATGAATCCTTGCAGTCACGAAAGCTTTAAATCGAAATTTAATTATATTTGTCTGTGTCTTCATTCAAACAATTTTAGTTTTTTTAACTAAATTTGTCACGAACATTTTATCATAGAAAAAGCAGCACGTAAGATACAATGTCGACTTTGAACAAAATGGCCATACATTTTTTCGTCTCAATGTTGAACGTAACACAATTTTTTATTACTATTAACATTTGTTTAAAACGATATAAACATAAAACACGCATTTTTTTGTTGTTGCAAACATTGATCAAAGTAATTTACACATGAAAAAAACACCCTCAGATAATGTGGAATTTCCCCGGTGGCTCACGGCCAGCGACTGAGGCAAGAGTTGCCCACCGACTTGATGAAGGAAGGCTCACAAGGGATCTTGACGTTCCAAAGTAATTCGTGTCCGCAACCTTAACTCTTGTTGTGAAATCAAACGGCAGAGAGATTGGATCCTACACGGAAGATTGGTGGCAACATGCACGATTGTTGAGTCACACGATGCCTTATAAGCCTTGAGCCTTTTGAATTATGGCCCCTCTCTCACAAACAATTGAAACATCCCCTTTTTGACCAGGGCCAGATTAAGTTTGTTGGGGGTCTAGGGCTGTTATAGTTTTTAGCGGGGGGGGGGGGGGGGCTCTGTTAATTAAATTCCTTCCCTTGACTGCTTGCCCGATGCCCAGTACTCCATTGTTATTCACCGTTTCTCTACGAATTGGAAAGCTAGTCAAAGTTAACGTGAACAAAACTATTTTCATTTCGGCACATAATTAGTAGTAATGCACACGGCAATGATGTGGTTTCAATTGGCAGGTTAAGTATATAATTTACCGTAAAGTTAAGCCAAAGCGATACCCAACCAACTCCAATGAGACAGTGGTGGAAATTTCTACATTTCTATGATGGGGGCAGGGGGACCAGCGGGCAGGGGGACCAGCGGGCAGGGGGACCAGCACTGTTGACTTGCCCACCACATAATTGGTACACATTCTACCCCCATCCAGAACTTGAACTCGCAGCATTGCGAATGCGAGCCAACTTGCTGCACCGGTCAATAGGATTGCGTGGTCACTGTTACTGTGATCGGCTCATTGTTTTCTGCGTGGCGGTGCCACTCCAGCGAGGCTGCAGCCCCCTGAAGCCCTCCTCCCTGCGTGAGTCCGGCCGCTGGCCCGGCCCGTGACCCCGGCCCGTGACCCCGCACGCTCACCGGTTGCTCTCGTCGGACGCCTTCTCGGCCTCTTCGAGTTTCTGCAGCGCCACGGTGAGGCGCTCCTGGGTGCGATCCAGCTCCTCCTCCTTGAGCTGGCTCTGCCGGTTGAGCCCCGCCAGCTCCGCCTCGGCCTTCGAGTCAGACGCGAAGCGCCACCACCACCACAACAACAACAACGGCCGCCCGTCTTCTACGTTGAGTCTCCCTCCCAACGCTGTAGTCAGTCAGCAGCAGCCCTTTGTTGTCAATCAGCTTGGCTGGATGAGGGTCCCACCCCACATGCCCCTTGGGTCACGGCAGTTACAGTTATGTGAACATGTTTCACCACACGTAGACTTTCGCGACCAATGTTATTCATAATAAAGATTTTTAGGTTAGGTTGCATAAGTATAAATGTGTCGAAACCTTGGCGTTTTGTTTACGTGACGAATCCCTTTACTAATTGGCTGTGTCGGGTGGTGGAGGGTTTCGACACATTTATACTTACGCGATCTAACCCAAAAACGTTTATTATGAATGTTTCACCACGCCGGTCAACGCGGTTAGCACAGGCAGGGAGCATGCTACACGTGGTGGTGGTGGTGCAACGATGTGTTTTGCATCACTGCCCTGCGATGGATGCCCTGTAACCCACGTAGCGCTGCGAGCCCGTTGAAGAGCCGTTGTTGTGTGCGCACACTGATCACCCATCCTGGCACTATCCAGGCCGATGTCCTGCTTAGCTTCAGAGGTCTGACGAGTTTGGGCATATTCCAGGTGATCGGGCCACAGGTAGCTCGGCACGTACAGCACTGTACGCTAATGACACAACTAACCGTTCACCGGTCCGCCCTTTGCAACACAAGTCGATGGATTGTTGCAAAATTTGGTAACGATTCATTCGAGCCTCTCGTTTTAACAAATGTTCACATTTGGTAAATATTAGCTGACGAGTCGACACACTTCCCAAAACAACGATTCCAACCCAGGCATTGCCACGGACGGCGAACGGCACTCCTCCAGGATATTCAGGTTCGGCTAAGCTGAATTAAGTGACACAACCAGACGTATTATTTGATGGGGACGGTTTTTGTGTGTGTGTGTAACCATCGGTGACGTGACAGAGGGCCGTCAAATGTGGTCGACTTGGGAAGCGAGTTTAATCGCGGTTCTCTGACATGGCCATCGTGAACCTCCCTAGAGCCAGTCAGCGGCCTCTCCACGTGACCGCGTGTTGTTCCTACCGTCGCGATAACCCTAACCAACACACACGTCCGATATTCATTATAAGTCATTGTTGCATCTTCAAACACCTGTATGAGACGGTGTTTAAATTAAAGCCGAACAACATCAGGTTTCCATGAGACTGTTCGATAAGAGAACCTCCTAAAATGAATGATGCTGATCGATCAATGTCCTAAAAAAAAAGCATGTAATTTTAGAGGCTTCCAAATGCTGTGCGTGTGGATCAAGGCTCCTTCGCGTGTTTAGTTTGGTCCAAGTTTGGTTGTTTTTATTCGTCTTGTAATTTTTCTGACCCAAAGTAAGGCTCTGCCAAGCATTGATAAAAGTGAAAATGCCGTTCGTTACACACCTGCACACACGTACGCGCACGCGCGCGCAAAAGCGGCACGTGGACCGCGCGGGTTAGTGTTGTTCCAAAGTCATGTGTCCACAACCCTGAGATCTTGCAAAATCAAACGCTGGAACTATTTGATCTCATAAGGTATATCGGTGAGAGCACGCATGCATGGCTGATGAGTGACCCGACGCCTTATAAGCCTTGTGTGCCTTTTGCCTCGAGGTATCTATCTTATACACAATCACCGTGAACAATAACACAACTGCCACAGGCAAGGAACAGGAGGTGAGTCAGATGATGAGTGTTAAACACATTCAGTCAACCACACAGTTACAAACACTCACTCACGCAAAGATCCCCCCTGAACAGACTTTTGGGGCAAGTGCTGTTAGCAAGCACCTATGAAGGCGAGCACAGCGCATGAGATGGCCAGCAGCACACCCGGCCGCCTTTGTCTTCCAAATGCTGATGTTTACACACAGCACCAGGTAGTGTACACATTTAAGGCTGAATCGACCTAAGGGAGGCTCAGGACTGGTTCAGAAAATCATCAATTGTGTTAACCGAGTGGGAAATGAACTCAGGTGACCGGGTTCGGAGCGCAGAGTGTGCTTGACCACGACTCTGCCGTTCCCCGCTGACACATCCATACACACACACACGTATAAGTGTACATGCATGCATCTCCTGGAACATTTAAATCGCATTTCACTGTTACATCGCATCTCAAACTCTGATCGACACAAATCTCAATCTCAAAGAGGGCGTCTCTCTGGAGTCTCATCCATAGTGCACGCCATCTCACAACACATCACAGGAGACACCGCCACGTTGAGTGTCACGTACAGAAGCTCACTTATCGGAGGCGGGCCGCTTATCCCGCATGAAGGTCTCGCGAGGAATTTTAGCCCCCCCCCCCCTCCAAAAAAAAAGGAATGTAAAGCAACATTGAGCTTGAATGCGCAACTCTCGAACGCTTGCCTGCACTCCACGCATGCCCTTATAAAGGGCCCAGCAACGGACTCGGTTGTTTATTAATTCAGGGGCGCAGCCGGGATTACGGCACAAATATTTATGCGCGCGAGCGGCACTAAAAGTGAAAAGTGGACAAAAAGTAATACCCCCAAAAACAGGGGGTGGGGGGGCGGTCGAAGCACAAGGTAGGCAGGGTAAGGGTTTACATCCAACGTGATGATCTGAGTTCGATTCCTGGCCACGGGCTGCGAATGTGATATTTGAACCAAGCCGGCGTGCGATATTTGAACTGGTACTGGGGCCCCCATCACTCCTTCACCAACCCGATACCGACGAGCGTGGTGAAGTATGATGATAATACAACCCTTATAACTGGCATGGCGTGGGGAAGCCTTCATCCGGCAGTGGTTTTGACAAAGAACTGCACATTTACATTATTACTACAGTATTATTATACACAAACTCTACTCACAATCTTTGTTGGAACGTGGGAACATCTCTAGGTATGTGGCATTGTCCCTCCAGATTCTTGTAATGCAACTGCTATTCTATTTAAATTAAGTGTAAGCAACATCGGATGGCAAGTACGGAAGTGATTATTCTGTAAACCCAACTACGCCTGCTCAGTGGAGCGAGCACCTTTCTCTCTCTGTAAGCAGACAATGTCAGGCTTTGGTCGGCATTCCTGCACATGCGGTGACTGGTGGGATGCTCTAGAGGCTCGTTGTCATTGTTCACAGACAGACAGGCAGACGGACAGATAGGAAGGCGGAAAGATAGACAGGAAGGCAGGTAGATAGGCATGCAATCAGGCAGACAGACAAGACCCCATGCGTGTCCCTGCACCAGAGGGCAGAGATCTGTGGCTTGATTCTTTTCACTTTTGACGTTGAAGAACTAACCACATCAGCCCGCGGAAGCGGTTTCACTCCTGTTGATTCTATCGTAGAAAAGTTAAATCGACCGGGCCAAGCCACTTGCAGCAGCTTCCACGTCGAGCGACGTGGTCTGAATATGGCCATTTTGCAGCAGGGACATGAAAAGGGTTCTCCGGAGGCGGCTGATGCCACGGTCTGATAAACACCCTCGCTCCTGAATCCTAACCCCGCTTCATCCAAACCGGTTCCTGCACACCACCCACCCACCCTTTACCCTCCATCACCCCCTCCCCCTACCTCCCTCGCGTGCTCCCCTCTCATTCACCCCTCACCTCCCGAAGTCGGCACCCTCATCCGGTAATTACTGTCATTTGTAGTTTCTTCATACACACACAAAATCCAGCATGCATGCTTGAGCTACTGTATCGTCGGCGAACGTGTCTGGGTTCGAGAGTCTGAGCGATTGAAAAATATTCGCTTTCCAATCCCACGACCCCTTTGTGGGCCCTGCGTGTTTTTCCTACAGACTAAATATAAATCGCTTCACTTGTAGTTCATGCAAGAGCAGGAATTGCTGTCACCTGAGATGGCAAAGCTTTAGTGGTGATCATTAATATGGCCAATAACGGCGAATGAAATAACGATTATGTTATTTATTCATCCAGGAAAGGCGCACTGAGTCATAATTCACTATTCAGGGGGTCCTCCATTCGAATATTTGGCCAATTACTTGTCGATGAGTGTTTTACACCGTGTGGGAGGACGGTGGAGCACCTGAAGAAAAGCCACCACGCTTATTAGGGGATATCATGCAAAGCCAGGACAGATGGATTAAATCCATTACTGTGCTGCCATCTCCTTACAGCCCAAGCCCACAACACTCGGCATTCCCAGGCAGCCTCCCATCCAAGTACTAACCAAGCTTACGCCTGAGGGCATTGGGCATGTTCAGGGTAATAGGGTCTATACCAGATGGGGGAATATAGTTTGTGCAAGCTTCTCAGGATAACCGGTCAAAGTGAGGAGCCCAGCACGGGTGCAATTACGAAATTATCAACATTTCCCAACTTCATGAATAAAAATCCATTTTCACACATCACCTCATACTTAAAACAATAAGCCACCGTGGACTTTACTGCTGCCCCCTAAAGCCGGAGGCAGGGCCCTCCCTCCTCCCACCCTCATCGCCCCCTCAGGCCGCACCTCAGTGGCCTTCCTGTCGGCCTCCTGGAGTTTCTCCTCCAGGGTCAACGCCTCCTCCTGAGCCTTGTCGCGCTCGTCCTCCGTGAGACGAAGTCGCTTCTCCAGCTGCAGCATCTCGTCCTCCATCTGCAGGGAGGGAGGGCGGCGTGAGGGCGCGGGGTAAGAGGGCACGCGAAGTGGCGGGAGGCGACAAATATCTCTTTTCCACTATACAACCGAGCCGTGCCAAGCCAGGTCGGCGCGGCTCAGGAAGTCCCGGTTTTTTTTCACTGCAGAAGCCAAGGCATGCTTCATGATGTGACATGCAACGAATGGGTGATTAGTTCCACCCCTGGCCCTGCTTGGCCCCAAACCAGATTCAGATGCCTTGTGAGGCCAGAGTATCACGGTTTGGTTCTGGCTAGGCATGGCAAATAGCCAGTGGAAAACCACCTGTTCCAGTGGGAAAGGAGTAAGATAGGAAAAGAGACAGGGTAGGAGGATGTGGAGGTAATGGATGTAACCTGTTGTATTGGTCATTTTGAACTTGGGAAGATGTCTTTCTTTGATTTCTCCTGCATCATCTAGTCTGGAAGTTAGAGAGGAAGTTGGTGCTACTTGAGGTGACAACATTTTAAATGGTACAAGGTTCTCCATATTGCTGACAAGTGTGAATTCACGTTCGATAAACTGACCTCATTTAACAACATATTTTATTATATATTTCGCGTCTGTTGGTATGGTGGTAATTCCGTAAACCAACGCTTTAGATGATGCAAGAGTTGGTGGAACACATAGAATAGTGTAACTTACACACCTGTTCGGCTACAAGGTTGCTGAGATATAACAGAACAGTGATGTGTTTGTGAACCTGTCTGTGTGAATTTTGACTGCTATTCTCATAGTATGCATGGTAGATGTTTCCGGATACTCTGGTTCATTCGCACACGCTCAACACCATCCACAATAAGCAATTAACCGAGCATCCCAATGCACGACCCTCCTGAAAATAGGCTTGGGACCCGTTGAGGCTTTATTGGGTAAATAATATATAAATTAAAAGAAGAAATCGGTACCAACAAAGACTTTTACCACCCCTCAACCACAACTAAAGTTAAATGATCTCAATTTATTCTTCAACTAAGCGAGTTGAAGAATGGATATTTTTTTTAAATCAATTTTCACGAAATTAACCTAAATATTTTACACACACACACACAGAACTCAACCGGATGTTTTAAGCGCGTAATTGAGTGGAATTGAAGACACCGTCGTCATCACCTCTCTAAATGGGCACGCTGTAAGGGTGAATTTCGCAGTGGTTTGAAGGCACTGTGCTCGACAGAAGCCATTTGAAAAACTGATGCCGAATAATCGATTCAACAATTATATTATATTTTTAAGCAATCCACTTAATCGCATAATCGTTTCAGCATTTCCACACACTCATCAGCAGCGCACCGTCCCCTTAACCTCCCCTCATTTCTAGACGGTGTGTGGCAGTCGATGTCATGTCCACGAAGAGGCAGAAGCACTTATAAATCATTTAGATTGAAAACTAAAATCTTTACAACTACTTGGTTTGCTGCCCTTCCTCCACACCTCCGATTAGCACGGTTGGCTATGTATGGTGTGAAAGAAGTTTAATATACACGTTCCGCTCACAACAGTGGCAGTCGGGTCCATTGTGTGTCAAGTAATTTTTCGGCCCATCTCCCTCCTTCATTCACCACCATCACCGTCCTTCTTGTTAACAGTGGCGCCTACATTTTGATTTAAAGCTTTCGTGACTGCAGGGATTTATTTTCTTGGTTCTTTCGGTAAAGTCACGTAGAAGGGAAACAATAAAATAATAAAAAATATAAAACAATAAAATTCTCACGACGTCTCGACTGCTTGTGTTGCAGTCGAAATGTCGTGAGAATTTTATTGTTCTATATTTTTATTATTTTATTGTTTCCCTTCTACGTGACTTTACCGAAAGAACCAAGAATAGTGGCGCCTACCTTTACAGTTGTGCGAAGTTCCTTGTTAAATATTGGTCGAGTGTGTGGAACATTGCTCGCGCCGCTCCGAGGCCCCTGTCGTCAGCATGATGGTGTGGCTGTGGTAACAGAGATGCCGCGTCCGTGAACCGCCAATTTGGAGGCAAGCTTTGGTGGGTTGCGACGTGGCCAGGGTCAGTGGACCTGTGTTTTTGCGTGGTATCTTTGAGTGCTATTTCCTCCCACACACAAACCAATCATTGGAAAAAAAAAGGATTTTGTGAAACATGCCAAAGCAGCACCCTCCTGAAAACGAGTCTTGGGACTCAGTGAGGCTTTCCTGCATAAATAAATGACTATTATTATTATTACTGTACATTATGCACACAAAAAATGGGAGTATCGTTAATCTCTACAAAGAGTATCTGAGACTATGCAAAGGCTTCCCGTGACATTCACGGTACTAATTCTATGCAGCACAGAGGAAGTATAACTCAAGCACAGAATACTGAACACATGCACACACTGCATGCCTTGTCACACTCAATATAAACAAGTCAGAGTGTGTCCTCATACTGAAACAAGCATTTGGGCATCGGTAAAAATTCCATTCACATAACGAGAACCAGTCAGCAGTCTATCCCTAGGATGGACAATATTGACGATGAACTTCGAAATGCCAATGGACATACGTTGCGCCTCTTGTAAGAACTTTCAACTGTCCGTTTGTGAATCCGTCCGTTAGTCACAGCAATAACTTGAGAAATTAGCATCGCAAAGAGTCAATTGAGGACTCTCTCTGGCCTCAATTCACCAGGGAGTCATGGTATTGATGATTAACTACAATACGACTTATGGTCTTATGGCCTTTGGCCGAAGTCATACAAATCGTGACATAAAAATGGCATCGTGCGTATCCTATGGGGGTTGAGAATACTCCTGTGATCCCTTCCCGTTCATCTGCTCTTTGAGTTGAGAATCGGGTAATTGAAGAAACATTCGGGAAACTTGGTCGGGTTAATGATAAATGAAGTCTATTCGTGGAAAGAATAGGGGAAGACTTTAGCATGAAATGTCAAAAGGATGTTCTTGTTATACCAGTAAAAGACTGGATAAAAAAAAAACAATAAATCACATACATGTGTGTTCCACCAAACATTGTGGGCTGATACAAAATATGTTTTGATTGTATCTTCTCGCAACTTCTTGACGGTTATTTTTTGTGTGAAATATACTCAAGAACTTTAAAAGTCTAAAGTTGACACAGAGACAACCTCAGCACTTGCCTTCAACAACAATGAAGAACATTCCGAACCACGTTTAATTGGATACATAAAAATCGACGTCAGGGTTGGATACGCCCGAGATGTCCAGCAGATGGCAGCGCGGTAATGGAACATTGAATCTATTTGCGCGGAGCTTTGGTTTTCTCCAGATACTCTGATTTCCTTCCACGTGAACTCAAACTCTCATATTAAATTGAGATTTGGCCAAACACCCGCACGCAGGATCCTCCAAATTCGTTTTCTCCTTAAGACACAGTGAGTTCTCCTGGGTTTTTTAATGAGAATACACCCGTGTGAGGTAGCAAGCACCGTAGCAGCATCTATGATCAAATGCAGAGGGGCTGCAGTTCGTGTTTTCAGGAATATCCTAGCCCGACCGTGTTTGTCTCTTCCTGATGCTGAAGACCATTACGACAAACCGATAATCAATTAGCAGTCGGCAGCATGCGCAGACATCATCAGCGATTCATCATGCTCGTCGCCTGTTGGGCGAAGTGATGATGTTAGCGAGTGCCTATTAAGGCCAGATTTGAGGATCACACACAGATACGTGAATAGACGAGTTATCCTCGCATACAACGACCGTTGGGGCAAGTGGGTTTTGGAACGGACCGGGGTCTTTTTCTCATGAGTGCTGCTGTTCACACGCCGCAATCGTTACTTAGAGGAGGAGGCCTGAATACCAGTGGCGCAAGCCGTGACCGAGGTGGCACACGCACGCATGAATACGCACACGTGCAACGATAAGACCGAGACAAAGAAATCAAGGACAAAGATCCCCGCGTAACCCACGTAACACTGTCGAGGTAAGTGCTGTTCGAGATCACCTATTAAGGCCAGCGCCACGCCCGGCCGCCTTTGCCTCCCCAGTGCCGATGTGTATACATCGCGCTCATTTAAGGCTGAGTCGACCTAGAGAAAACCCTGGACCGGTTGATATATAATCGTCGCCGATGTTGGCTGCGAGCACGAATCGAACTCGGGTGGCCGGGTTTGTAGTGCGCTAACCGCTACACTCCCGCTCACACGCGCACAGGTACACAGGTACACGAATACACGCGCGCACAGGTACACGAATACACGCGCGCACAGGTACACGCACAGGTACACGTATACACGCGCGCACAGGTACACGTATACACGCGCGCACAGGTACACGTATACACGCGCGCACAGGTACACGCACAGGTACCTGCTTGGCTTTCTCCTCGGCGACCTTCCTGTCCGCCTCCGCCTGCTCGGCGCGGTCGATGGCGTTCTCCTTCTCCATCTTCAGCATCTGCATCTTCTTCTTGATGGCCTCCATGTCTGCGAGTGCTTTGGCGGTGGCGTCGAACGAGGCGACGAGACGCGTCTGCGCTTTTGGGGCGAGGTGCGGCGTGAGAGCGAAGATGGGGCGAAGTGGACGACAGGAGGAGGGGATGTCAAGCGGCGGTGGTGGTGGTGGAGGAGGAGGATCGAGGGTCAAGGATGACGAGCGTGAAAGATAGTGATGAGTGGAGGAGGCTGGTGAAGAGCCGAGGAGGATGAGTTACAGAACTTAAGAAGGCGAGATGTGAAAACCAACGGCGGATGATAACCGGGCGGTGAGAGAAATTATTGACTAAAGGCGTGTGCCGAGGGTGCACGTGGACGGGAGGTGAGCACGACGTGAACGCAAAAGTGCAGGAAGAAGAAGAAGAGGAGGTGAAGGAGAAGGAGCTTGGTGCTTTTCACCGGCTACTCCAGAGCGAGTGTCTGGACGTGGGGGTGGGACCGCAGCCGGGATAAGTACCCGGGCTCAGGCTGGGGGGTTCGTGGGGGAGAGGAGAGGGGGGGGGCACTCCCTGGGCAGACACAAGTTGCGTGGCGAACCTCTCTCCGTGTCTCCGAATTTTTTCTCTCCCTCTCTCTCTCCCATTTGTGTTCCGAGCGGCGCTTTAACGCCAAATCGGGGCATATTCGCGTGGCGAGTGCCCCGCGTTGCAGTCACTGCGCTCGACCCCCCCCCCCAAAAAAAAGCCTCATCGGCGTCATCTCCCGCAGTGGCTCCATCTCCTTGTTTGGAGTCGAACATTCTCAGCTCGGGAGGATCGCGACCGCTGGTCCCTGGGTCCGTGACTCTACGCGCTTGAAGCAAGCGCTGTCGATTATTGTCATCATCAGCCGTGATTAATCCACTGCTGGATGAAGGAGTAACCCCCCCCCCCCCCCACTACTTCCCAACGCCAAGCCGTCTCCATCTCTCAGGGATGTAACGATCCAACCAGGACCTGCACACGAGATGATATAGTCGCTACATCTCCACGATCGTTGTGATTCCTAGGGTGCTTTCCCTCCGTTGCCCGCCACTCCGCCTATAGTCTCGACCATCGATCATCATCCCTTCCGGCCATGCCGTGCCCTGCCCAAGTCCCTTTGTCTTCACGATTTATACGATGGCCATGATGTTGTGAACTTCCCTTTGTGATCTGATGCATGCGTTCCTCTCTCCGCCATGGCAAGTGGACAATTACTGGACATGTGTGAAAAAGAGTTTCGCAGCTCATCGGATTCTTTCCGTGTAAATAAAGATTCTGATTCTGGTAAACAAAACAAAGTTGCTGTTTGCGAGCACCTATTAAGGATGGGCCGGCGCATGAGGGGGCAGTGTGGTCAAATTCACGTTCGCTCGTCTTTGTAACCCGATATGAGACGCATCCAAAACGTGTTCCCTGTGTCAATAAACGTATAGAAGTCTGAAAACACACACCTACCAGCGGTATAAGTCGCATCCCCTGGCGAAATACAGGACAAAAAACGTGCGTCTTATAATCCGGAAAAAATACGAAATGCGTAGCGCAATACGCTAACCACAGCGCCACTGCTCCGCCCAGGAATGTATGCGTAAACAAGCATACACAAAGACCCGTTCCCGTGTATGTGCTACGAAGTCCGTTGGGTCAAGTGCCGTTAGCCAAGAACCTTTAAAGGCCCGCGCAGCGCACGTGGGGAATGGTGGCCAACACCGACCACCTTTGTCTTCCCGGTGCTGATGTTTATACACCGCATCGGGTACTTATTCCAGGCCGAGTGGACCGAGGGGAGGCCCAGCTCATCATCAAAAGTAGCATCCGTGATCGCGAATAGAACTCGGGCCGCTGAGTTTCGGAGCGCACTAACGCGCGAACCACTGCGCTCCCCTCCCAACAAACCCCGCACAGACGCGCGGTGCTGGGTCGAGTTGAAACGCGCGCCTATAAAAGGGGAGGGGGGGGGGGCGAGACATCGAAAGCGGCGCTCAGACTCGAGGATTCACGGCTGTGACCCGGTGCTGGAAGTCGACGATGCGCTCCCGGGAGTCGAGACACTTCGCAGATGGGGTGGACGGATCACGCGAAAAACGACGACACGCACTCGCGCAAAACAACGAAAGTTGTCTGTTAGAAATATTATTTGGGTCATTCGGTAAAGCCACGTAGATAGGTTCAAAGAAAAGAACAAAAAAAAAGACTGTAGAAAGCAGCACGGCAAGTAGGTGGCAGAGCAGCGTTTGAGGTTCTCCCGTGTGCAGCGTTTCGCCAGCATGAATCGGCAGTACTGATGAACATGGGGTGCTCTTTCCTCCGAATGTGTTGACTGCAAGTGGATTGCCTTCCTCCCGCCTCCTCTCTTGGTCTCCACTTCGTAATTTGTCAGCTGTGATGCGGAATGAATTTGAGCTGCGTAAAAGCACATCTGGACCAACTTTGGGCTTGGTTAAAGCAAAGTTCCGTCAATCTTTGTTAGACCCATTGGGAGTTAGATATATCTGGATCGACTCTGTGCTGGATCAGATTCTAGTTGGATTCAAGTGACATCTGCATTAACTTCGATACTGATCAACTCCCTAGATAGCGGTAGGAGCGGGATGAGGTGCGGTGGGGGGGGGGGGCTTCCAAACCAAACAAATATATTTTTTATACGGAAACATTTAATCGATAACTCAGGACGCACGCTATATTAATGGATAGCTTTATTATAAAGAGAAGATTTTTGTTGTTGTAAAAAAACGGCAGGAAAAAAAACCCATGCTTGAGCACTGCGGCACACTGTGCAATTTAGCCGTGATATCAAGTCAGGCGAATGGTTCAATTTATTGGGCATTACGGATAGGGAGCAGAAAACACATTTGACCGACTTCCCTTAGCAAGCACATCGAGACACGTTTTCTCCGAATGATACACAAAAACCATGTCGTTTAAAAGCCAAGAAGCTGCGGTGCGCGTCTTATGAAAGCCGTCACCGACACTACCCACGGATGACGCACAAGTGCTGATATGCTTAACACAAGGCACTTTTGTTCCACATTGAGCGCGTCGCTAACAATGCGAGGAAATCGCGCCAAGTCGTTTTGTTCCTAGACGGGAGGCGGAGCGATATCGCTCCTAAAGCAAAATCCAGCAACAGAACATCGCACAGCAAAGCAAAAAAAAAGCCTAAACCCAAACCCATTCCAAATACCTGCAACAACAGGAGGCCGTGATGGATTTGATGAAATCATGCAGATCATCAACAAAACTGAAACGATGTCTTGAACCATGTCATATTCTTCTGGATTCCACCTACAATGGCAGCTTTGAAATCGATTGACGTTATCTAAAATAATGGTATTGTTTTAAAAGTTACCCTCGACTTGGCTCTTCATTAGATTGGTATTTCCAACTTGGGATAACTCATCATTCAATCAGTGGCATCTCAAGAGCATTCCACTCCATCTCTGGCCCCTGTGCATATGGGGCGACCTCTTGCAAACTGAGACCATGGCTATTTTACACACAAAGACATATCTACTCATCATACAACCTGTCCACTTCCTTAACGTGCATCTCATGCTCTAGGTAGAGCCTTAACAGTGCTTGGACGGGTGACCACTCAGCAGCGATGGGTTTGTTAGAGGCTGCGGGCAATGTGGTGTGCCACAGAGCAGTGCCACAAGATGCATAGTTGCACTGTACATCTATGCTCCCGACCGTCAACCCCACACTAACCATAGTGGTGAGGTATGGTCAAATAATCCACACAACTCGCATGGCATGTGGAGGACCCATCATCCAGCAGTGAATTTCCCAAAAAAGGTTGTACGTATTTGTACAAAGGGTGTCTGTGCGTATGCATGGCGGGTCCAGCCGCAGTCGAATGTCTCCTCATATGGACCTTGGTAAACTCCAGCGGATTTGGCCTTTGTGGCAAAACCCAGGGCCCTTTAACGGCCAAACGCCATGCGTCTCCCCCCTAGCTACACCCCACTACACCGAGCCACATCTCACTCGACCCAGCCACGTCCTGCACGCTTCAACCTCTGTCCACCAATCAACACACCCACGTGCATCTTCTGACACACTTGCGGAGAAGTAGACCGGTAAACGCAAGGAAGGTTTAAAGCCGCGTTGCAAATAGCGAGGAAGAGGGACAGATGTTTCGGTTTTTGTTGTTTTCGTTTAAGCGCAATCCCCTAAGCCACATTATTCAAGAGCCAAAAGCTGCTACACCTCTTCCGGACGAGGATGAGCCTACCGGAGGGGCCTGCACACCCCCCCAGTTAAATCACCGTGCGCTGCTGGGATTGGACAGTAATGGCGACAACGGCAAAAACTAAATCTCAAGTAGCAACGAACTCGCGACGACTTAACATCTCAGCCAAGACAATCATGCTTGTTCCTTAACATCAATATAACACGTGACCGCACTTGGTACTGAAGACGGCCCCAAGTTGTGAAACCAAAACAGCCGCGGCTGCGGAAGCAGCTGACCCGAGGCCGTCGAAGTACATGACAGGGCGTGCCCACCCCGCTACGGGCACCTCTCACCAGCAGGATCAACTGAAAGTACCGCTGGGCTGACGTCGAACTGATTCACATTAAAGAGGTTTCGTCTTTTAAAGTTGCGATTATCTTTCCTTGCGAGTACAATTACCGTGAAACAAACAAAATGTTAGCTGTTACCAGTCTTTAAACCCCCGAAAAATATATTAATGTGAGATCGTTCATATATTTTTTTTCAAAAAGCCACATTCTGGCTTTGGCTAATGGACCACCTCTCACCATTAACGCTCTATTCTATTGAAATGCAACACCCGCACCCCTCACATACACTGATATGTCACATCCCAAAGCACCGTCCGTGCGAACGAACATGCTTCCCTGATAAACCACGTCAAACAAGCCGCGCGCCGATTGCGAACTAAAGCTAAGGATTAGAAAACAATTGCCTAGTGACCCACACACAAACTTTGTAATTGTCAGGATTGTATTAAAAAGAAAATGAAGCAAAAAATAATATCATAATTCATGTTTTTGGTAACTGTCAACTTTTTTTTAAAGGATACAAAGTATTAAAAACAATAAAGAATAATAAACCTGTACATTATTTTTGTTTTATTGAAGATTAATATGTGCAATGAATGATAATTGTTCTAAATTAATATTTTATTACGTGCATTTAAAACTCATGGCAGGGTGGTGTGATTGAGTACAGGGCTAGAGGCCCAGGGTCATCCCTCGGCATATCGGCCACACCGGGGGAGAATGTACCATTACCAGAGCAACGTGCGGTACGAGTGGTGGAACAAAGCTGGGGGGGGGGGCCTTGGTGCCGAACCGCTCCGTAAAGAATCAAGAAGTGACACGAGGCATTTGAACAACAACGAATAAAAAAAAACCCATAAGACTACGTGATTGTGTTCAAGAAACATTATCTAGGAGGCTACCAGAATGCAGGCTGCACTAAACAGGGGCCCAACCTCGGCGAATTGGTCATGAGGACAACAG